GGAGCTTCCCAGGGAAGAGGCCACAGGGCCTCTGCATGTGACTTGAGCATCTGAAGATCTGAGCCATCAGATTCCTTGGTTACCAAGGCTTTGGGCTGGCTTGGAACCAGGCAAATAACTTCGAGGTGGCCAAGTGGAAAAGCAGGGAAGGAAAAAATGAGGCGAGAGGAGGAGGAGGAGGGTGGGAGGAAGGGAGGCGTCCAGGCTGATGAGTTCAACCGTTTTTCTGCTGTGATTCCCTAGGTGCCAATTTGAGGAACACAGCAGCCACCTTGAGGAGACAGATTGTGAGACACAGAGTGGAGCCAGGCGATCTCCCGCCCTGTCCACCAAAGACGGGTCCTGCAATCTGGAGGTGCACAGAGACTGAGTGGGTATCTGAGCTGTGAGTACCTTGTAAGGAAAAAGTGGGGGTGGTGGGGGGTGGGGGCAGGATTGGTTTCTTTGGATGGTTGAAATAATAATAATAGTAATTATTATTACCAGTCCTGGGGCTTGAACTCAGGGCCTTGGCTCTGTCCCTGACCCTCTCAGTGCTCAAAGTTAATGCTCTACCACTTGAGCCACAGCACCACTTCTGGCTTTTTTTCTGTGGTACTGAGGAATCGAACCCAGGGCTTCTTGCATGTTAACCTCCAAGCCACCTTCCCAGCCCTCTACCAAACACTTTTAGTAAAGATAATTTCCGATCCCAGCCTCCCTGTGGCCTTCCCTCCCTCTTGCTTCCTACCTCTCTCCCATCATAGTGATTCTCTGACCTCAGCCTTGTTGGAACACTTTAACCTATTTCTGAGCTCTGACTCTGCACCCAATCTCCAAAATTCACCCAGCACCAACAAGAGGCTCCAAAGAGAGGCCACGGGAGCGGTCCCTATGTGAAATCTCAGTGTGGCACTTCCTCATTTGTCCACTAGATGGGGGTCGTGTATAGGCTACTTGGGCTGACTTCAAACTAGCCTTAGATCTCAGCCTCCTCAGTAGTTAGGATGATAAACTTTGTGTGTGTGTGTGTATACATGCACACGTGCAGATGCTTTATAGCTGGCCTTGGTGGCTGGAGAAGCCTGTAGAACCATCATAGAATCATGTTTTAAAATGTCTAGGATGAAAATATATACAATTCCTAGAGATCTGATTGAAATCCAGGGCCTGGGCTCTGTGCCTGACCTTGTTTTTTTTTTTTACTTGCCAATCCTGGGGCTTGAACTCAGAGCCTGGGTGCTGCCTCTGAGCTTCTTTTTAACTCCACCACTTGATCCACACTTTTGGCTTTTTCTGTGTATGTGGTTCTGAGAATTCGAACCCAGGGCTTTGTGCATGTGTGGCAGGAAATCTATCACTAAGCCACCTTCCCAGCCCCTTGAGCTCTTTTGGTTCAAAGCTAGAGCTCTATACTCCTGGTTTTTTGGTGGTTCATTGGAGATAAGAGTCTCATGGCCTTTCCTGCCCAGGCTAGCTTCAAACCATGATCCTCAGATCTCAGCCTCCTGTGTAGATAGGATGACAGGCGTGAGCCACTGGTGCCTAGCTCAGGACTGGATTTTTTTTTTTAAATACTGTGGTATGGTGTGTATGTTGTAAATAATGTGTCTTTTTTAAGTCTTAAATTCCACAGTCACACGTGTTTCTGGAGAGAAAAAAAATCATAATTATGTCCAGGAAGTGGTGAACGTAGCCAAATGATCAGCTCTGATTGTGAAATGACACCAACCGGGGATTTATTGGTGACAAGAATCACGGGTCACATTCCAATGGAAGGAAGTGTTCAATTGCTCCAAGATTAGTGGTGGGATGTGATCTTGTTCCCACAGCCAGAAGCTTCCAAAACTCTTCCATATTAACGTAGGGGTCCACTGCTGTTCAAGGGGTACCGGGTGGAGACTTCCTGAGTCTCTTGCCCCTTATTTGTCTCCTCTTGTTCTCCAGTGCTTTCCTGGAAACCTGCTTGTAAGCTGATAACTGGGAAAGAGGGCTGTGTGTGTGATAAACCCCCAAATAGGTTAAACAGGCAGAAAGTCAGTGTTTTGGAAACAACAACAAAAAAGTAAGCCTGATTATGAGTGAGTAGAAAAGTAGCATGGTGGACTGGGAAGGTGGCTTAGTCTGGCATGCTGGTAGTCCTGGGTTTGATTCCTCAGTACCACAGCCATAGAAAAAGCCAGACGTGGCACTGTGGCTCAAGTGGTAGAGTGCTAGCCTTGAGCAAAAGAAGCTCAGGGACAGTGCCCAGGCCCTGAGTTCAAGTCCCAATACTAGTGGTAGCAAAACAAACAAACCCTAAAGCAAAAAGGGCTGAGTATGTGGCTCAAGTGGTAAGAGCCTGCCTAGTAAGGGTAAGGCCCTTCAAACTCTATAGTTTCACCAGAAATCAATCAAACAATATAAGGGTAAGTTGCTTTTTTTGTGTGTTTGTCGGTCATAAGGCTTGAACTCTGGGCCTGAGTGCTATCCCTGAGCTCTTTAGCTCAAGGTGAAGCGCTCTACCCCTTGAGCCGTAGCACCATTTCTGGTTTTCTGGTGATTCATTGGAGATGAGAGTCTCATGGACTTTCCTGCCTGGGGAGGTTTTGAACCTCCATCCTCAGATCTCAGCCTCCTGAGTAGCTAGGATGGCAGGCGTGAGCCACCAGCGCGGACTAATGTCTGAATTTTTTAAAGTTAATTTTTTTTTTTTGGTGCCAGTCCTTGGGGGCTTGAACTCAAGGCCTGGGCTTCTTTTGACTCAAGGTTAAGCACTCTAGCATTTGAGCCACAGTGCCACTTCTGGCTTTTCCTGTGTCTGTGGGACTGAGGAATCGAACCCAGGGCTTCATGCATGCTGGACAAGCACTCTTACCACTGAGCCACATGCCCAGCCTGGGGAAGTTGCTTTAGAGAAACCAATCCTATAGCAAAACACGCGTCAGGGCCTGTGAGGGAGGGGCAAAATGGGTGAAGCTCATAACAGCTCCCCCTCCTTACACAGTCCATACCTGCCTCCATGCCCTCCCCCCAAAATACAGTCTCCAAACTCAGGAGATCATCTTGTTCCTGTTCTGTGCCAGTAATAAATAACCTGTTTCCAGAAAGATGGAGCCAAGATGACCTCCAGGTGTGGGACTCTGTTCATTATGCAGACCTTTCTCAACGCTACCCCCACCCCGCCAGCCCCCCTAAATCTCCCTATTTAACATAGAGCCAATGTCTGCAACTCCTGAAGATGGATTGAAGCCCTGTCTTCCTGCGACTCATCAAGGGGTGAGTCGGCTTTCCCTAATGTACACCTCTGTCTCTCCATGTGAACTATAGGGGTGGCTAGGGAGTGGATCTCACTTGAGACTCGTGGACTTTGGACCTGGGAATCTAAAGAGCCAAGTTCTTGGTTTTCTTCGGTCTACACAGCCTTCTGCACACCCAAGGAGGGAACATGGCAGGCAGTGACCTATATGTAATAAGATTTGATTTTAACCAGTGCTCCTAGGCCCCAAACCCTCTCAACCTTAACTGGGTGTGTGTGTGGAGGGGAGGATGAGGCGGGGAAGTGGGGGACTGCGTCATCGAAGAGGAAAAAGGGTACAGGCGTTCACCCCCTACCCCCCCCCCCAGGGCTTTGAGATCATCCCTGCCTGAGTCCACAAGCCCACACCCGTGGCTACTGCTTCCAAACATTGCTTCATTTCCAGTTTCTGGTGATTTTTTTTTCTTCCTTACCTCACATGTTATCCAATTGGTGCCAAGAACCAGGTTGTGGGGTGGGGGGGTGGGGGGAAAGCAGGTGCAGCTATGGGAAGGGACGTGGCTTGGAGGGAAGGGGTGTGGCTTTGGAGCGTGTGGGCGTGGCTTCCCCACCTGCAGGTTTTAGCTCAGTATCCCTCCCATTTGATTTATACTCCAGGGTGGGTGGTGTTCCTAGAGACAAGTTTTTGAGGGGCAGTTAGATACATGGCTGTTATAATAGGGGGGACATTTGGGGAGGGGTTGTCACCCCTGGAGACAGACTTGAGCTTAAGTTCAAGGGTTTCTTTATATGGAATTGCCATGTGTGTGGGGGGGTGGGTAGGTGAGTGTTGCCAATCCCTGGGTTTGAACTCAGGGCCTGGATGTGGCCCCTTCACTTTTTTACTCTACCAACTTGTACTTCTGGCTATATATATATATATATATATATA